AGATAAGAATTATAGATAGATAGATAGATAGATAGATAGATAGATAGATAGATAGATAGATATGAAGAAATGCATCATATAATTTGGGTTAAATTTTATTATTCCAGGCACAGTTTCTGCAATAAAATTTACTGTTGCCAACCGATGTTGTAAGAATTTTCAAATGTGATGATGAATGCAGTGAAATGTTTAAAATTCTTGGACAAGATATTTTTGGATTTGTAGAGTCATAAGCAAGCAGCTTTTAGGCTATATACATGAAAATCAATACTCCTTCACATTGTGCAAAGTTGACTATGGCCTACCTGACCGAAAAATGTCGCTAGGTTAATGGAGTGGAGCCTAGCCTCTCCAAATATTTATCAAGTAGAAAACCTGTGGTCCATCATTAAAAGAGTTTGTAGAGGAGAATGTAAAATAGATTCAAGCAAAGGTCTCTGGGAAGCGGTAAAAAGAATCTTCAAGTTATGTCAAAATCGGAACTGTAAACAGTCAGTGGGATTGGAGAGGTTAACCGTTTCCACACAGGAAAATTTCGGCATTCATTGACTAGACAGTTAGTGTTATGCTCGGTTGAAAATATATTTTTTTATTTAGAAAATAGAGTTTTTAATTCCGTTAAACTCTCAATACTCATTCTAGTATTGAAAAGAATTTTCCTCCCCTTTTTTTGTGGAAGTGTGAAATGTCAAGATCTTGATTATATCATTATTTTCTCTTCTATTTATATGAGCTATCCATTTTTATTGTTGCTGCTGTTGAAAGTCTTCAATTGATGTAGAATTTCTATATCGTGAAGCTCTTTGTTCGTGATCTTGTAGAGCCAGTCTTTAGATATAGATAAATGATTCTTTTCTTTAATCCAAAATCATTCATTCACCGAAAATTATTTTGAATCATTAATCAGAAAAAAGGGAAGTTAACAAATCAATGAGTGTGAGACTAATAAAGATCCTATAATAATGAAGACTGCATATTACCATGTAAATAAAATATTTATTTATTTAGGTATATGGAATATTTGGCTAGAATGTTTTCAGGCATATATAGTTTAGGATTTATTCATAAATAGATATAAATAGTGAAAGTTTTAAGTAGTAAACATTACTCCTCCTAAACAAATAATTATCAATATATTTTATAAAGAAAACTATTCTTAGCTGCAACGTAGAAGATATTATTACTATTATATATATATATATATATATATATATATATATATATATATTTTTATGAAAACCTAGGTAATCCGTATGGGTAATCCTAAGAAGGATAAAATCCAGAGAGCTCAATGTAAATCCAGAGCAAATAATTTAAATAAAAACAGACCACTTTAAGGTTCCATGTAATAAATTAGTTCATCACAGCCCATGTAATAAATTATATCACCGCAGTCCTTTTAAAAGGGCTGTGGTGAAATAATTTATTACATGAAACCTTAACGTGGTCTGTTTTATTTAAATTATATATATATATATATATATATATATATATATATATATATATATATATATATAAATAGATTGATAGATAGATAGAAAGATAGATAGATAGTCAAAGATAGGATTGGTGTATACGTAATAAAATTTCAATAACTAAAAAAATACTATTATTAAAAGAGTCCTCAATACAGAGTAGAGCAAATATAATTATTTATTTGAAAATTATAACGTGAATAAATTATATTATAATTATAACATAAATAAATTATGTTATAATTTTCGAATAACATAATTATACACACACACACACACACACACACACACATATATATATATATATATATATATATATATATATATATATATAAGTAATTATTTATTTAAAAATTATAACATAAATATGTTATAAAATCACTACAAAAATAGCCATTTTGTTTCATCACCTCCGGTGTCTTATCAAGTGATGATGTTGAATGTAGATTGTTGAATAAAGGTTTTAATAGGTTCAAATTAATTAATCACTGCTCGTAAAGGGAAACGATGCCACATGAGCTGAAATGACCAATCAAAATCCAAGTATATGTGACAGCGTTTCCCCTTATGAGGGGTGGTTAATTAATGATCTTTTATTAAAGTGTGTGTGTGTGTGTGTGTGTGTGTGTGTGTGTGTGTGTGTGTGTGTGTGTGTGTGTGTGTTAATTTTATTATAAGAGGTTATAATAAAACATGTTGAAATTGCTACACAAAAGCTTTCATGATTCAATACTTTCAAAGTCATTGAATGAAGTTGAAATATATACGAAATGCGTGTAGCAATTGTTTTCAAATTCGGACAGCCGGAAGTATGATCATCAGACGTTATAAAAAACACGCGCACTGTGCCTGGCCTTCAGTTATAATCCGGACAGCTGTGAGAAGGATGGAAGTGTCTAGAGATCTCTTCCGGTGCTGTTTGCTTTACGACTTCAAAGTGGGCTTATAAGCAGCTGTATCAAGTCGCCGCATATGTCAAGCGTTTGGGGATAGTGCAGTGGATAAACGTATTGCAAGTCGGGAGATTTGTCTCTCCATGATGAGCCTCGCAGTGGACGACCACAGGTCTTGAATGACGGAGTCCTGAAGGCGGCCATTGAAGTGGACAGTAGTCTAACGTGTGGTAAACTTGCAAGACAGTTCAACGTTTCCGATGAAACAGTTAGACTTCACTTGCACCGCCTAGGTAAGACGTACAAACTGAGCAAGTGGGTTTCGCAAACGCTGTTGGAGGTCCACAAGAGACAACGAGTGGCAGCCTGCATATCGCAGCTTTCTCGCCACCGTACCGCATCCTTATTCAATCGAGTGCTTACCAATGATGAAAAGTGGGTTCTATACGAAACTCCCAAGCGTTCCAGACATTGGTTGTCTCCTCTGGATGCTGTCCCTCACACCGCAAGACCGCCCTCTGCATCCACGCAAGATTATGCTTTGTGTCTGGTGGACAGGTCGTCAAGTGGTTCATTATGAACTGCTACCAACGGGCCAAACGGTCACTGGAGACCTATACTCGCAGCAATTGAAACGTGTGCAACAGGCATTGCGCCAGTAGGAGCCAGCACTGGTTAATCGCAAAGGTGTGCTTTTCTTCCATGACAACGCCAGGCCGCATGTCGCGCGAATGGTCAGGGATACCATACAGCAACTTGGGTGGGAGACTTTGTACCATCCACCTTATTCACCTGACCTTGTGCTATCCGATTACCACCTTCATCTTCGTGGGAAATCCTTCACCAATGAAGCAGACTTGCGCAAAGCCCTCACGGACTTCTTTGCGTCAAACCCCGCCGTGTTCTACAGCAAGGGCATTGAACAGCTGGAGACATGTTAGCAGAAGGTGCTGGGTGCCGATTATTTCGAAGACTAAATATAAGTTACGCATACTGTGAAGCGTTTTCTTTTTTTCCTTTAAAAACGGACAGAACTTTTTGGTTACCTTGTACAATCTTGCGAAAAATCTGACATATTTTATTAATGTGTGTATTTTTATTACCTCATTTTAGTTTTTGATTTTATTCATCTTAAGTTGATGTTATTTATTAATTAAAAGTGACGTCAGGTAGATTATGAAAATTTAAATACTATTTAGACTGCGTGTCCTTATATTTTAAAGAATTTTGTTGATTATTATTATATTATCATTATTATATTTCGATTTCTGCTATGGTCACACTACCTAGCAAATCTGCGGGAAGACCTAAGACAGCTCCCTGATGTGTTGTCATCGCAACATTTCATGATTTGTTTTTCTAACTCCCATAATATTACCAAGCGTTACATGGATAAAATTCTTCTCAGAGTGTGAGAAGTACTTATCAAGATATGTTTTTGTATTTCTCTTAAGCTGGGATTTCCAGGGATATTTTCAGTATATTCTTGTGTTCCTTTTTTATCATTCCAAGCGCACCTACTATGACTGGTATTAATTTTCTTTTCAATTTCCACATAATTTCTATTTCGATTTCCAGGTTTTTATATTCGATAGTTTTTATCAAATTCATTAGTTGCTGAACCTGCCATATCAATCATAGGGCAAGTTGTGTTTTTTTTTCTTTTAAGTTTTGACAATTATATCCGACCTTTTTGCATCAATCTTCCTGTCTTTAAAGATGGTGTAATCCCATAAAATTGAGATGTCTTCTATTCCTTTAACTGGTGCTGGATGATCCTCATACCAGTGCTTTTTTAACATCTTTTCCAAAGTGTTTGCACATTGCATTGTCCAGTGTAAGTATTGTCTCGTTCTATCGTGACGATTTTTATATTCATTTGATGCAAGTACAGAACATCTTCAGATTAGATTGTCTATAGTTTCTTCACACTTGTCACAGAACCGGCACTTTACATTTTATTATTATTATTATTATTATTATTATTATTATTATTATTATTATTATTATTATTCTACTTGTTGATCGTTAATTGGTGTTCGGATACCAGCCGGGTATTTATCATTCACTTAAGCTCAAATAACCTTAGGAAAGGTAGGAATCCATCACTCCCTTCATCTATAGATTAAATAGTAGGACATATATCAGGAAGAATAATTGTTCTTTCAAAACATTTTAATGCAATATTCACTTGCCAATAAATGAAATATTAAAATATAATTTTTTTTCAGTTTTTTCAAAAATCAATTATCACAAGATTCCTGCTTATTATTATTAGTAGTAATATAAAGAAAACCAAGTTTAAATTTAATATATAGTTATAGTTTGATTGATTACATATTAGTCTCCCCTTAATAATTTAAAAATCGATTATAATTGAATGATTTTGTGTTTATTTAAAGTCGAAGCATATTTTAGGATTACCGAAATTTAAGAGCTTAATAATGATTTTCTGATACAATTTTTACTATTTAATATTACTCTACCTTTTCATCTCCCATAGAAGTAGAGTAATTCCATTCCAAAGGATACGTAAGTATAACAAAGTGGACTGGAATTTTAGGGCGGGTCAACGATTTCGAATTCGGTGCCGATATCCATTAAGCAACCCACCCACCCACGCGCCTAATCTTTCAGCGCCTGGTATTGCTGAGCAGTCACCCATCTAAATATTGACCAGGTTCAACGTTGCTCAACTTCGGTGAACGGACGAGAACCGGTGTTTCAACGGGCTAAGGCCGTAAGCTATAGATAATTAGAACATAAAATCAATAAACAGAAAATTACTTGATATTAAATTCAGTAGCTTCCTTCAGTGGGTTTTAAGTAAGATTTAGCAATGCAGATTTTTCAAAACTCTCCCTTCCGCCGAGTCACAGTCACTCTCTCTTTTTCTCTCTGTTTATACACACACACACACACATCTATCTATCTATCTATCTATCTATCTATCTATCTATCTATATATATATATATATATATATATATATATATATAGTTTATGAAAAACTAGGTAATCCGTATGGGTAAACCTAAGGAGGATAAATTCAGAGCAAATAATTTAAAACAGACCAATTTAAAACAGACCACTTTAAGGTTCCACGTAATAAATTATTTCACTACAGCCATTTTAAAAGGACTGCGGATCATCAGGCTTTACTTCCAAACAAAAAATGAAAAGAAAATTTACACATTTTTGACGGGCCGTATTAAACATATATAAATTAACGAAGTGAGGAATGGAGTGGGGAGAAAGAAGACATGAGTGTGTTAGCAGATATTGACACATTTAAACATATATATATATATATATATATAAATTTTTCCAGGAAAAATCTCCCCAGCGATTGGTCGATCCTATTAATTTAGCGTAAAACATAAATATCGACATATACACGAACATAGACAATTAAAAGCTTAATTCGTATAAACTTTTTCTGTAAACCCGTCTCATTTCTCTGTCGATTTTCTTCGCAACTTAAAAAAGTCTCCTATTACTCATTCAATTTTATTTCCTCGTTCGACCGGGCAGTCCGTTCGGTTTTCTATACGAACGGCGACGGCCGGTTCCTCCCAGGCTTACCGCGCCAATGATAATTGGAATAATACGAAACATTAAGGAAGAGAAAGTAAAGGAAGTCGATCAGCATAACCGACGGACTTCCGGTTACGAAATATACGACTTCCGGTTACGAAATATATCTTGAATCTCTCTCGCATGTCTCAAAGAAACTGAAAAGGCAGGAAGGCGTAAAGTCGAGAGGAAAATGGTACATGAAACATATATTTTATGGAGGGACTTAAAATTCATTATCTATACACTTATATAGAAAAAAAATATATATATATATATATATATATATATATATATATATATATATATATATATATATATATATATATGCATATTAATTAAAATATGTAAGTTTATATATAATATATTCACCGATTAGTGAATGTAGCATATATGATTATACAAATATAAAATATTTGATACATACATTCCTAGATTAATTAAAATATGAAAAATATTAATGAATTAAATAAATACGCAAATATGATAGAGCTATATATATATATATATATATATATATATATATATATATATATATATATATATATATAGATAGATAGATAGATATAGTTTGAAACAGTAACTATTGTCACAGGCGTGTTTAAAAATAAATACGCTAAAATTTACCTTCATCCCTGGTGTGCGCCAATGGCTGAGGGTTAAGTTCAACGCCAGTTAAGTCGGGTTTCGACTTGGCTTTCGATCCGGACGTCTAGCCACACTGATGAGCTGTGATAGAGCGAAACAGTCTGTCTGTGGATGACACTATATAAGGCTTCCATTATTTTTAGCCTTTTTTTGCATGTAGATGATGCTATTATATTAGTGTTGTCAACAAGTATGTTACGAATAGTGTCCGTAGGTCTCCATGAATATTTAAATGAGATCTAATGGCGCTATGGTCAAGAAAGCAGTAGAGTGAGTCTGCGTGTCGAATATACATACATATATATATATATATATATATATATATATATATATATATATATATATATATATATATATATAATGAAATGAACTAAGTTCTGCAATTATTTAAATATAAATATTGTTTATATGTTATTTTATAGATAAAGTTATAATTCAGGCCGGTAATGTTGTTAAAACTGTTTATTATAAACAGTTGCCTCTACGTAAATATTTATATCTGTAAAAATACGTATATACAATAAATATATTAATATGAGAAAGAAAACTAAACGGTGGCCACAATTTAAAATTATAGATATTATACCTAAAATAAATTTTATCTGATGTACACTGGGGAAATTCTCTAGATTTAGTTTGTAAGATAAATGCAGATAATCAAGCTTTGATATACTCGGCCATTTTTGTTTATTCGGGCAGTCGAAAACAACTGCAACGGATATATGAGTTAATTCATTGCAATGATGTAAAGATGGTTTTCAGAAATATCTCCCAGATACATCTTAAGGTTTATTTCCAACTTTGTCTACTGTATCTGACAACGTATGAAAATGTATTCACATCACGACTCTGAATATATCTCAATCAATTCTATGTAGCTATCTCTGTTTATTTAACTGATCATGCACATACAAATACACATGAACGCGCGCACGCACACACACGCACACACACACACACACACACACACACCCATACACACACATATATCTATATATATATGTAATCAAAATCAAAAATGATTTTGATTATCGCCTATAAATATGCCTTCTCTTGCCTCTTTAGCCAGCTTTCCCTGACGATCCGGGTGAAACCTGGGTGGGTTTGTCTGGCTCACTAGGTTTATATATATATATATATATATATATATATATATATATATATATATATATATAGCTGGTCACTCGTATTCGAGGATACCGTTTACTAGGGGAGCTAGCCAATCCCGATTGCAGACGCTTGCACAGGAGCATTTGTATTTATTCAACACCCACAGAACCCGCCAGTCGTTTATACTGCAACTATACTGAGAAGACAGTTTCTGGAAAGAGCGTGTTATCTAGCATGATCAAAATTTGGAACAAGGTCAGCACGATGAAGACCTCAGCCACGATAACTTATGACCTCCGTCTCCCCAAGGTTTGGCTCAGGAACTTTCCAAATGTGTCACACACTGGGATCGACCCCTCCAATCCGATAACATCAGTAAGTCTCCTTCTTGAGAAATCCACCATGGTGAGATTCGAACCCGGGTCTCATGGTCAAAATACGAACGTTCTAACCAAACACACACACATATATATATATATATATATATATATATATATATATATATATATATATATATATATATATATATATATATATATATATATATATATATATATACTATGTACTTTTTATATATATATATATATATATATATATATATATATATATAAACTTAAAACATTACGCATATAATTTACATACAAAGAAATAATCACACATAGAATCAATCAGAAGTATTAAGAGATCTTACACAACCGTCAATAATAGCAGATATTCAAAAAACATCTTTCGGTCAACATACAAGTATTTCGTCTTCAAGTTTTTGATTTTATAATGAAAAAAACTCATGCCTGATGATGAATAGAGGGCTATTCGTAAGTACTAGCATTTTAACATCAAATAAACTGAAAACCACAGACATCAAGTTTATCGACGAGGATCACTTCGCACTATGGATTAACAGTATTTTAATGCATATATTATGTTTCTAGCGATGGATGTCACCAATAATTGCATTAATACTTCTGATTGATTCTATGTGTGATTATTTCTTTGTATATTTGTATATATATATATATATATATATATATATATATATATATATATATATATATACAATTTATATATATATATACATATATACGTATGTATATATATATATATATATATATATATATACATGTATAACTTACTCATATATATATACTGCCCTAGGGGGTAACCGTCATTAGATCTTGACCTTTCGATCATGAAGAACCTTCTGGCCAAAGCTCGAATTGTCATTTTCAACACAGATCTTTCCCGATTCTATAAATATACACAGCTGCTCAGTTTCCTATCGTAACTTAAACGACAATCTTTAGGAATGAATTTTTCATTTATGTAATCCAACATAATGCAATGTATCTCTTGCTTTAACGTGGGCGATGTTGTGAAAACGTATTCGAAGATGATTTCCAAATATTAAAATATTAAAAAAGTCGATTGAACTATTTTATATAAACAGTTCAAGAAATCCCTTCCGTTGATATAGGAATACGTAGAGATCAATAGGTTCTTATATCTTCATACAAGCTTGAAGTCCTTCACGTTACAAAGCAAATCCAAAAATGATTTCAAAAACGATGGAACAGTTCTAAAAAACAGTTCGATAATGAATCCTTTCCTTACTTGATCAATAGATTCTTATATTATCGTCCAAGCTTGAAGTCTTCCATGTTATAAAGTAAATTCAGGTTTGTATTTCCAGTAGACAGTATGTAAGCAAATATATCGATATAGATCCGACAGTATGAAGAAAAATACAGAAAAAACGTGATCATATTTAAACGGAACGCTGATCTTATATAAAAATTTCTGTTATCTGTTTGGATTAGTTGTTCTCTCATGTCCATCGTCTTTTGTGTTAAATTTTTATGTGTTCTAATGTTAATTATGTTTAAATGAAAATGTCCATGAAGATGGTCTTAAATAGACAGAAACGTCCGACGTCGACTTTATATTAACATTAATACAGCATAATTGCATATTAAGATTTTTTTTTGTTTTTCTGTACATTTCTTCATACTGTCGGATCTATATCCATATATTTGCTTACATATATATATATATATATATATATATATATATATATATGAGTATATATATATAGTACATGAGTATGTATATTTATATATATATATATATATAAGTACATGTATATTTATATATATATATATAAGTACATGAGTATGTATGTATATATATATATATGTGTGTGTGTGTGTGTGTGCGCGCGCGCGCGCGAGCGCGTGTGTGTGTGTGTGCAAATATATTGAAAAATAGGAAAGAACCGTCAGATTAATAATACGATGTTCATTAGTATTTTTGTTTTTATTTTTAAAAAACAGTGCTCGATACACAAGTAGAGCGTATATTATAATTATTTTTTTTATTTTTATGGAACGATGGAATCATATTTATAAAAAAATT